CCGCTCGGCGGGGCCGTTTGCTTGTCTTCCACTCCAACTGCGCGCCGCCAACTATTCCATCAGCCTGATTTCATTTCTTGTGCTCGGCGGCGCCGCTGCCGCCACCGGCGGCGCCACTGTCGCGCCCAGCAGTTTGTCGGGAGGAGCGAGTGGGGAGGCGCACAGTCCGTTCCGGGGGCTCGGAGGAGCCGCCTCTGCGAGTTTAGTGGCGATCCGCAAAGTTCACTCTTGAGGCGCAAATTAAATCATAACTCGATTAACAAATGCGTATAAATTTTATGTGATTGATAATTTAATGATAAAATATCTCTCTCTATGCTGACATTGGTTTTAAAACTTTACCGTATATGATATTTGAAATTATTTACCTATGCCAGAGTATTCGAGTGTGAATCTTTATGTTATCAGAAACTAAACGGTGTTAAACCATTTGTGATACGCAAAGGTTGATAAACAGGGTGATAAACAAGGTTAACGAGAAAATGTAAAATGAAGGGAAAAATATTGTGTTAACAAAATGTTTGTTACTTATCAACATTAATATCATTTCCATCTGATAACTTTTTCAGTTATAGAATTGGTCTAAAGGTCCAAATGGAGTTACATACGAAAACGTAAATGGTGAAATTGACAAGAAAATGTGAAATGCCATTATTAACACTGCATTTACATTTGTTTTACAAATTCGTAAATTTAAGTTGACAGGTTTTATAGGAATCCTAAATTAAATAGAGGGGATGGCAGAAAGAGGGTAAGCCAACAGAATAAAAAAAGTCAACATTTTAAATTCGTATTTAAAATATAATATTTGGGATCAACTAGAGAAACAAAAAAAATATTGTAAAATCCTCGACTACTTCTCAAGAAACATATATTTTTTACACATTAGTCATCATCAGCATCAATATTGTAACATCTTTAACAACGTCAGAAGTAAAGAGTTACTTAAATCCGCGGGAAAAAAGACTTCCATATATATTTTTCTCTTTTCTAACGGACCGTGGTCATCTGCAGAGCTTTCTCTGAGGTAGGTGAGCAACAGAAACTGGGCGTCCGCTTTTTGATCACGACTTGGAGCACTTGCGAATTAGCTGTACTCAGAAAAAAAATTTAAAACGTGTCAATGGTTCCCTATTTTTGTTCCAATTCACAGCGATTTAAGAATATCAAGTACTTATAAGTAAAATTGCAACTTTCAACTACAGCACTTTGGCTGTCAACAGACAAATGGTCCCACTGACAGCGTAAATTTGTATTCCTACTTACACTGTTTCCAAGTAATGTTCACCTACACCCTTTGCACTCTTAATGCAATAGAACTTGCTGACAAGATCATTAACCTAATTTTTGAAAATACGAAAAATGGAATTACCCAGCTTGAGTCTTAAAGGTCCTGTATATTGGAATGTTCTCATCGAACTGAAATAAAAAAAGACTGTAGATCAGGGTCAAATGTAAAATAACTTTAAAAAAATTAATTGATTACAAAATATAACGT